GTCTATTATCATAGTGATTGCGTACTGACGAGGTCTTGCTTCTATGTCCATCAACGCGTACGAACAGATGGCCACNGGGTGTAACCGACATAACCAGCATCGCACTGGTCACACTTGAAGTTATACACAACGCATTGTTGATCAATGAGCTGGTTATGTCGGTTACACCTTGCAGCTTGCAGCTTAGTAACCAGGCATTTCACCAGGAGATGGACAAAAGTAGCTTTCAAAGCTTTCTTTGATCACAGCTCTACAGCTTTCTGGCAGAATGAAGATTTGCTGCTGTGCAACAATTAACTGCTCTAGAATGGAGACCTTCAACTGGCTAAAAGATTTTTTAACAAAGGTTTAATGCTGTTTAACAGCAAGAAATGTAAGCTTACGGTATGCTTACCAACAAAAACAGCTTTTTTAGAAGCCACCAAACTTGTAAAAGCAATGATCGATGCAAACTCTGATATTATTACAGTCTTATGAAGTTCTCATTAGTTTGCTTATACAAACTTACAAATTTCTGATGATAAGTGTTAATTTATGCAAATTTTTGACACACTGTCTAGATGTTCTTGCAGATAAGCCACATCCCCGATTTTTAAGGAAAGTTTTGAGCAAAAAGGTGCGGCTTATTTGCCGGTGTTTACGGTATCTTCCCATGCTGTGTACAGTAGTATCTTTGTATAATTATGCTGCACTTGACCAAAACATGAGGAAGATTTAATCTGCGACATGGCAAAATTACAAAGAGAATACGTGTACCCAAAAGAGCAATACTGACAACTAAAAAAAAAAAACATGACTTTAACTGCAGTTGATAATGGCACAGAAGTCCTATATTTTGATCAGAAAATAATTCCTGCGCTGCTTACCATAATTGTCTCCTCCGTGGGATGCATCAAATACAGATTTGTAAAGATTCTTAAAGGATGCACTCAGATCTTCAAATGCCACTTCAGAAAAAATCTTTCTTGGTGGTTCTCCATAGTTTTGTGAAGTACCAAACCCACCCATGCTTGTGTTGGGCGATGAACCAGGGGACACCCCGGCTGACATTCCTAAGAAACTTTGGTTGGTGGGAGAGGAACCATAATATCCACCACTGGACTGCAATGAAGCCAGTGTTGGAGATGCTGGAGAGCCACATGGGGATGACTGGGGGCTTATTGGAGATACACGGCCATCCTCTGGTCCATATGGTGATAACTGTACGAGATAAAAAGAATTAATACACATAACTAGTCAAGTGCAAGGTCTGTAGTGAAAAATGCAGTCAAAGCTTTTCCTGTCAATTTATGGTCCAAGAATCAATCAATCAATCGATCGATCAAACTTAACTGAACCTCCCCAATGGGCTTTTCAGGAAAGTGCAAAGTGCACAGACCATATTTGTTAAAAGAAAAAAAACATACACACACACCTAAAGAATTATGTGAATCTAGATCATGCTAGATGAATACAGCACATAACACACCCTGTAATATATCCCATGATAATATCCAATCACAGCATTCAACTGAATGATAAAACAAATCTACTCAGCACTATATCAAGGTGGCCAGCACAGTTTTTTTGAGACATGTTTGTAGATGCTGATTTCTTTATGGTGTCAATTTAATTACACGTGTGGTAATTAACAAGGCTAATAACAACAAATTCCTGTTAAGATATATGAAGTCAAGAAATCAATTTTGCATGCTATAATGCTGTAATCTTAATCAAAGTTAGCTTAAAGTAAAATTAACAGAAAACACATACTGTACGTTACTGCTGAGATCAATTGTGATATTTCTTTACCTTTCCAGACATTTTCATGGCAGTGCCAGCTTATGTAATTACCACCAACACTAATCTTGTAAAACCTCACATAATTATAACATTTCTTAAGAACACTTTGAAGATATTTTTAAAATTAATTAGTAACAATTAAGAAATGTATCAGCAATTTTGGAGAATGGCCACAGCTTCTACTAGCAATTTTGATTCTTGTTTGCGGCTTCAATATAAAGATTTTGCTATGTGCTGAAAGAAAGTTTTTAGAATGAAATATTATTGTGTTCATCAATAAATAATGATGAGGTTTTTCAGTGATTAAATAGTACAAATAGGATGAAATAAACCACTGGTTATTGTACAAGTGAAAACACAAAGGTACACCTTTTAATGTACTAGCATCAGAAGACAAAAGCCCGAGTTCTTGGAGTAAACTATCTGCATGAAGTGGACTTCGTTCAACGCACGACATCATCTGACTTTCAAAATTCTCATCCGCGATGAATTATACAAATTAAGAGAAGCAACAAAATTCAAATTTATACTCGAAGTTTTGGGCGTATTTTGGTAACGATTGACTTTTCTTACATTCCTCTTTTCAGATTATAAACTATTTTAATCTGAAGTAAGGAATCGTGACCTTTTAGGGGTCTATTATATTTCAAATGTTCACAGGCACTCAATGAATGATTCGAGAGAAATGAAATCAACAACGTCAAAAATTCGATTGCCGTAGACACTTCGAGCTGTAGGATTATTCTCGTCAATTACCCAGGTCATACAACTTAAAACAAATTACCAGTTAAAATTAGTGACGAGTAAAAGACAGAGAAAATTTTTTTTTTTCACCTTTTCCGCGAATCACGTCATATATTACCCGCCAAATTAATCTCCATTTTCGCATAACAATAAATACAAGTAAAATATACCGATTAGGTTAGAGTATGCGTGTAAAAATGAAAAGCATAGAGTGCTTGAACTGTAACACGAAAAAGAAGAGCCATAAACATGTTGAAGTATTTATCGGGACGAACAAACACTGCTTATCAGCTTTCACAACTCACTGATTTCGAATCTGCGCTAAAACGCTCTCGCGTTTTGCTGCGCCATGTTCGTATTAATATGCAAGGTGGTATGATCTTACGTACCCGTGAATCGCTTGTTCGTCTTTTCCTGTTTTGCCTGGAATGAGCGTGATCGTCCTGTGGATTCTGATCAATTGCCCAGTACGATCCCTAAGTTGGTACAGGAAAAAAAGTTATACAAGCTCAAAACAAAATACGATCACTGCAAGAAAAAAAACAAGACGTCTGGTACTGCTCTGAGAATACACTTGCACATGATTTAATTTTCCTACCTTTCCTGGGTCATCTTTGCTTCTGGGTACTTTCATAAAGCATTTATTTAACGACAGATTATGCCGGATCGAATTCTGCAAATGACAAAAACAATCACGACTTACTACAGTTTTGTATGAATAGTTATAACAGAAATCAACGCAGAGAAAGTTTTAATATTCATCACTTAGCCACAGTTCAAGTGGGGAAATGTGAACAAGAGTTTTTACCTTCCAGCCGTTTCCAGCCTCCTTGTAGTACGGAAACTTCTCGCAGATCCACTGATAGATCTCGCTCAGTGTCATTTTCTTCTTGGGCGAGCTGTTTATTGCGAAGGTGATCAAGTTGGCGTAAGAGTAAGGTGGTTTGCTTTCGCGGGTTTTGTGTTGTTGTGCCTCGTCGTCGTCCAAGGTCGCATTCGGATCGAGAGGTGAGCTCGGCGGTTTTCGAAACGGACTTTTGTCCTTGCTCGGATCGTTATTGTTATTCGACATTTTAGCGTTGGCACTGTTCAAAGCAGTACCTACGCTAAGCTTAGGCAGCCAGTCCATGGCTGTCAGGCTGCTGTTAAGCTCCGCCATGATTGCAATGGCGTTCTTGCCAACCGTAGCGCTGTAGGGGGTCATGGAAGGGCGCATGTCTAACCTATGTGTGAAGCTGTAAAAATACGTCATCAGTGACGTCAAACAATGACCCCTTCCTTTCCGCTGCGAAAAAACTGACGTATGTCGTGAACTATGCCAAGTTTGCGAAAGTTAGATAGTTGAGATTCCTAACTCAGTAAAATATCGCAACGTTAAACGTTGCGATAGAAGACGTGGCTCCGTCAGCCGAACAGTTCCCTTCGATTTGCAAGTGAGCACGATCAATTTATAAAGCAGTCAGTACTGTGAGAGCTTTCGGAACACAATCCTGGGGAGATATTTCAGTTCACCCTGTTCTGCGACAGGCAAACTCCCAGGACCGTTAAGCTATTTTTAAGAGCGATTATTAAATTTTTACGTTTCAAAAGTGCTTGTTTGCAAGAGGATTAGCGCTTTTACATTCGGGAGTTAGGGGAACATTATCTACATACACACTGAAAATAAAAATTTCCCGCGGATTTTTATAGTAAGGGCTTGGATGTAAACGGTCAATAATTCCTCGTACATTAGATTTAATCATGATCAGGAAAATTGATATGTCTTTGCAAAATTAATGGTGGATAGAAGACTGAATCGGCAGAACTCAAATAAGCCCACACCCTTGCAACTCTTTGTCCTGTTTCAAAAATAGAACCAACGGTACCTTAACGTTACGTTCTCAATTTGCCCAGCTATATTATGTCTAAAATAAGTTTCTATAAAAGCTTTAAATAAACCGAAAAAAGTAATTTAGTGCCGTCTAGTTGACACTATTTCATTAAGACAAATGACGTCATTTCTCCCCATATTTTTTTCGGGGTCATAGATCTTTTCAGGTAACCTTCACTTTAATACGCTAAATCAATCGTGCATATTACCATTTCTTTTGTTAAGGGAGCTTAATACAGGCTAACATTGTTTGTTCCGACCATGTGGTTTTCAAGTTTAGTAAGTTTGTTAGTAACCACGAAGACGTTTTCGTGCCATGTGCTCTCCCCTGTTTCAGTGGTCTGTTTTATTTCTGTGTAGGCTAGTTGATAAAGGGCAGGGGTAGTTATCTCATAAGTGAAATGAGGTGACCTGCTAATATCGCGGACTTGTAATTCAATAACACTAATCATCATAGAATCTTATTTTTAGTTCAGCGTAAACATCAAATTTAGATATGAAGTTGATATCTAGATTCTTCTAGTTCTATTCTGGCATGACAAATTAGACTCGGCCAGACCGGCATGCAGAAGTTAAGGGTTTTCTCCGCCCATACATTAATCTCAAAAGTTCAAACTCGCGAGTCAATTCAAACGAAGTCTAACGGAATTAAGAAAAGTGAGTTTTACTACGGTTAACAAGGAAAACCGACAATACGAAAAAAAAACCCAGGCAACCAGAAACGGTTACTCAACTTTGAGAATTGGTCAAAATCTTAACAGTAAGCTGAGAAATGACACGACTCTTTATATTCAACGCATATGTGCGCGAAAAACAAACAGAAAAACAAAAACAAAACAAAACGCTAATCCAAGAAGTTACTCGACCTTTAAAGTGAAGCTGACTTTTTGAGCTCATTTATACTTCTTTAGAGCATAACTCTCCAGTCGCTCAAATCACTAGGAGAGCGCGAAGATCCGCGAACCGCGAGGGAGCGCGAATAGCGAGGACTTTCAACGCGCGCTGTTAAGTTTTCACACATCAGTGGCGCCTATTCATGGTAGCACCAACAAGTTTCAAAGAATTTTCAACCATCAAAGATATTTAGAAGTTAGTTTTGAGACGGGAGCACAGTATCGGCATATCACAGCTGAAAAAGTGCGAACATATCCTGGAGAATTAGAGGACAACGTACTTTTTGTTCACTATGAAAAATAACGCTTTAAAAAAAATCCAAGTAGATGCCCAGAAAAGAAATCATGTAACAAGTCGGCCGAAATATATAAAAAAAAATAAATAAATAAATAATCCCTCAAGAAAAAAAGGATAAAAGGAATCATTCCCACACCGGGAATCGAACCCGGGCCACCGCGGTGAGAGCGCCGGATCCTAACCACTAGACCATATGGGACTAGACATCGGTAGAGGGAAGAATTAAGTTAAATATTTATAAAAACAAAGGCCTTTTGTTACCAGTCTCTCTCTTAGTTTGTTAACAAAGACCACGGAATAGGTATGCTGGTGAATTTTACTTGTCAGTGACTTCAAACTGTATTAGGAGAAAAGCGTGATCTAAGATGATTCGAAATTCTTTTTTTTTGCTTTACCCGGAGCTCGTAGTTTAATCTGTAATTCTGTAAAGAAGGTGGTAACAAATTGAAACTGAAGTGTGACCTTGAACTGACTTGCGTATTTGCAGAGCTGTAAAGTTGTGATGGACGTGGCTCTTTCAGTGGCAAAAAAATACACGCCACTTTATTGCATCCTGCGTCCTGTGGTGACATCTCATAAGTACCAGCTGGCGTTCAGTCTTGAAATTGATACACGAATCAGTATGACATAGTTCGAAGCCCTTACTTCGGCCTCACTCGGAAAATCTTCGGATTCCGATCTCTATGAGGTCCAAACCTTCATGAGGCCTTTTACTAAGGTTTGTTTTCCAAGTGTTAAGCGAAAATCAACATCTACATTTCATTTTCCTGCAATTTCAAGTACTCACAATTTCAAAGCACGCTATCTTAGCAAAGGTTGTACAGGAAGTTGCTTTCATAATAAACAAATCCTCCCAGCTACCAAAGTATTAGTGTAAGAAATTAATACACGTAAACAATGAAAAAGATCTTTTCTAGTTGAGATTAAGGATAGAAATCAGGTTAAAAAGACTGTTAGACTACGTAATTAGATTTAATAGGTGTGTGAACTCTTTTTGACGGAGTGGGTTTTCGTTCACAAACTTCGACATTTTTCAAATCCCTATCTAATTTGTAGTTTGTTGCGCGTGTGCGAAAAAAAGAAAAAGAGAAACTTGATCGAAACTTAAAGTCAGGTTTTCATGTGTGAGGTTTCATTTTACATACAGACGTGTCTAGCAGGGCTGTGGCTAGTGAGTGTATAAATTGATAATTTCCTTTTACCGGCAGAATCCAGAACTACGGCCCCTCTTCACAGCGTGCAAACCATTGTAGCATTGTTCGATGCCCTTGACTATGCGACGCCGTTAGCTCTTAACTAATCTTTCTAGTATTAAATAACTGAGAAACAAGGTGAATTTAGTAAAAATAGAAAAATGAACAGCTGCTATGATGGACCAAGGCAAGGGTTGGTAAAAAACAAACGAATTACTTCGTCCCGGCGCTAAAAATAACAATTATGCGACGTTACGTTGCGACTTTGTTGAAAACAATGCCCCTTTGTTCTCGACCGAAAAAAGGTTTCCCCAGATATGTCGTTAAGTTTACCAAGCGGAAATGGTCACAAATTGCTTGTAAATTTAGTGAGTTCTCAAACAGACGAAGCATTTAAAATTTAAAAAGAAAAAGAAAAAGTCATTGGAGGGTACAAAAATTTCAGTGGCTTTCTTTTTAATACAACACGAAAGTAATTTTTTCGTCTAAATATTGTGTAACGAATGGTATTGTTTTCTTTGTGGATTTTGCGGAATCTACAGAAGATAACACTGAGCAAGTGCAATTCTAAATGAATATGAAACAATTAGCATGTCAAGTTTTTATTTTTAATTTAGTTGCAATGTACAATGCTTTGTCATCATGAATCTGCGACCGTAACTTATGTACAGTTTACACAAAACAATACGAGAGCTGTAACTGTCGATAAGACACAACAATTGTTACCTTAATGTAGCAAATTATTTAATAATACTCGCTGAAAATCAGCGACTAATTTGGTTTTTGTCTGATATTATAGCGGGCTTCGTGTGCATGTCCGCTGCGTTCAGAATACTGTACATCAAGTAGCAATCGGTGGACTAATTTACAACATGTTTCGCGACACTTGTTGAAGAACGAGATAACACACTTGCAACAGAGCTCCGGCAAAAACTAATCCGCCCTCATCTTGTTCCGAAAACCCTCTCCATAAGAGCCGTAATAATGTCTGATTTCTCCTAGTCAGAGGATTGTATCTGCAGTTTATATTGTCTCCTGCTGCAGCAAGAGATCGTCCGACCAACCGTGGAAGATTTGCTCCGTGTCCAAGGGCCCTCCTCGACTCAATTTGGTCTCCAAGCCAAGCAAGTCTCTGTGCAACGAAATGTACATTTTCTTGTGTGTTTCCATGAAACTGAAGAGGACTTTGATGGGTTATGGTTGAAAACAAATTATCTCTACTCTCGGGAGGGAAAATAACAGGATTTATATTCCGTCTGTCCATTTTGCGGTCAGATATCCTGATCCACCGGCCTCTCAAAATTCCTTTCCGGCTCCGAGCTTTGCTTCGCCTTGAGTAGACGAAAGAAGATAGCGGTGAAAAATGCTGTCTTAATCTTCCCGACAGGTCAGTCTTCAACAAATCATCAACGCAAGTTCTGCCGTAAGGTTTTGATGAAGTCTTGTGCTATGCTATGGCTGCAAAGTCAGACCATTGACTGGGATACACAGCCAGGCGTTATTGTTGGCCTCAGAATTCAATAAACAATTCAATGTCCAAACAATTGACAAGCGATCCGCACGCTTTAAACACACAAGATTGCCCGTGCAGTTTTAAACGAACTGGCGTCGGAGTGTCTCTATACCAGCAACTCGTCTAGGCTTGCCTCGTTTTTAAAGAAAGGGGATTGTTTTCTTTTCTCTGTTTTGACGACCTTGACTTTTCCCTGGGCAAATAAAAACTCCGCAAGGGCTTTGACGGTCCGCAACAGAAATTATCTCATATAACACAGCAGCTCTTGTCCACTCTTAAGGTTGAAACTTTACCAGGATAGAAGTCCATTTGTTCAAATAAGCCTGCACGCGAGCAAAATCTTGAAGACAAGGATGTCGACCTCCGAGGTCATTTGTCAGTTATTTTCCACCTTTCGGCCGAACTTCGAGAATGCAAATTCAAAGCGGGCCTTGCCGAAAAGACGGGAGTTCATTTGCGCCCCTTTGATTAAAGGCGGTAACCGCTTCGCTACTCGCTGAAAAAAAATAATTACCAAAAATAGCCGAAACTAGCCGGGGTTTCACCGGTACAAAACTCGATCAAAGGACAACGCAATAAGTGCCGAGAATTTGACAAAGAAAGGAGATTTTTTTCGAGAGTTTTCTTTGCTCGATAAAACGGAATCAATTTTTCATGAGCTGGAATGCACTTTCCGCTTACAAGCTTAAACTTACTTCGAGCACACAAAATGTTTTTTTCTAGGCTATTTCACGCGTTATAAAAACTTGTTACGACATTCAACAGGCTTTCCGACGGCTTTACAACCCGGTTTCGCAAATTGCTTATTTACCTTTTCGCGAACAAATGAAAAAATTGACGGCAGATTGAAACACACTAATTTAATCTAAATTCAAAGAACCAACTTCCGACTCAGCAAGGACTGACAGCGCTTTCATCGGACAATTGGCGGGGTCAACTTGTCGGTCCTTGGCAGCCGGCAACAGCATCTTAAACGCTCAGCTGAAAAAGCAAAACAAAGGCGCGATTCTTTGCTAAGTGTTGCCTCGCCCGCTGAAAAAAAACAATACAAAACGGTTTGAAACCATCACACCAAACAGCCGAAACGAAAGAGAGAATCAATGTTGAATAATTAAGGTTTACATTGCATTCATCGGCCTCCTCTAAGGTCTATAAGCGGTGTCCCTTTCTTGTAAAGCCGCGCTATTCGACGCTATCTATTGCAAATTATTACACCATTCGAGTCTTGCAGTTTGGATAAAATGACAGGGAAAAATAAATAGTGGCCTTTGCGGTTTAGTAAATCGCAGCGATGCGAAATCCATAGATTAAAGTAAATGAATTTAACTATATAAATTTGCTTTTCTTATTAGATGTTTAGGCCGGCATAAAAAAATCTGAATTTAAAATACGTGTTATGTATTTCGCAAAAAACATTTTGGGAATTTTTCAATGCAAACTGATAAACATCGCAACAAATTTATCAGTGCGATACCGAATATTTTTTTCTTTTACGTTGGATAAAGATAAATGATCAAATTTAGTAATCTCGTAAATGAAAAGTTTAAACGACAAAGTTAATCTGAAAACCCAACAAAATGCGAAGCTATTTATAGCTCATGACGTCAGGGAATATAAGCACGATTTCAGATCTTTCAATCTAATCGTCAACATACTTTAAACTCATCATTGGCCGTGAAATCGTTTTCCATTTAATCACTAAGGACCTAATTTGAAGCAATTATAGAAATATCAAATGTTAACAAAAATATAAGCCATTCTAGCTATCGATCTTTATTTCATTTCGGTTTTTGAGCACAAGATACGGTTGTTTGCCCAGTCAAGAAAATTGCTATTGTCGTTTTTCGCTCAGATCTTTGATTGCAATGGAAACCGCCAAAAAATAGTTGAATAACTTGAGCTTAAATAAGACAATTATTAATTGCAGAATAACCCCGTTTTGCGGGTAACAGTTTCTATAACGATTCAGTTTTCGTTCTTACTTTCGGCCAGTTATTAGCTCTTTGCTGTCGCTAGTTTTCGGAGTCTGACTACCTTAAGGTGGCAAACGTGAGTTTCATCTTGGTCGATTCGTCTCAAATTAGAAATATTTTACATATAAAATTTAAGTTAGACTCCGTTAGTCTCTCCTAGGCGTTCAGTAACTTGAGGCCCAGCGCGAAAAATGGCCCACAAAAAAATATGTGAGAAGCGAGGAAAGGCGCTCTCACCTTAATCAGTGTTTTTTCCCTCCGCTGTTTTCTCGCGCTGCGCTGCAACGAACTCCGTAAGTTTCCATATTTGTGTTGTTGAAGATTCTTCAATGTAAAGCTACATACAGAAAGACAACGCGGGTTATATTCTTTCGGTAAGTCGTTTCTTTCGTGATTTAGCAAAAACCGCACAATTTAACATTACTTTCAAAGGGTCGTTATACTGATACTTTCGGGGGATTGTTAAATGTCTTTGCGGTAAGTTTTTTTTTCTTTGGGAAAGTACGCCTGCATTTCAGGGGAGAGTTTTTTGTCGGCGGTCTGTCATTCTTACAATTGTTTTAGAAGGAGTAATTGATGCCATGAAATTAAAAAAAGACTGATATTTCTTGACACTCGATCACTTTATGGTCGTGATTTGCGGCGTACCTTTATATATATACGACAGAGTTACGGGTAATACAACCCGCTGCTTTTAAGAGTTCCGTCGTAGTATTTTGTCTTATTCAAGCCGCGTCTCGCTTAGAGACTTTAATTAAGACAATGGACGAGAAGTTGTTTCTTGGCGGGATCGTTTGAAGGCAGAGCTAAAATCAAAGGATGCTTCGACGGATTCTAACGCTGCGGTAACAATCACTTGATAATTATAAGACAAGTGAGATTTAATGGGGGGCATCATTGCCAGTAGAATTTCTAAGCTTAAGCGCGATAAATATTTCTCTCCCCGGTCCCGGGGTCTGTTCCCCTAAATTTCTAGGGCGGAACCCATTCTGTATTTCCTATAGCCTACCAAGTGTCCTGTTTGTTCGAAGGCTGAACAAACTATCCCCTGGATAAAAAAAAAACAAAAAAAAACTGAAGTTTTGTTACTTTGTAACACGCTTGACTTGTTGCTGACACTGTTGCCATCTATAATTGAAAAAAAAATCTGACTTTATCATTTTTTAACAACCCAGAAAACAAACTGATTAGTTTTTTATGCCGGCCATAATAACACTGAACTAAAAAGGAGTCGAATTTTATTGGCTAATAATTAATTTTTTGGGCGCAAAACACTTAAAGCTGTCATGATAAGACGGTCATTGTTAATACAACTGGTATCTGAAACGTATAGCAGTCCGTCACAGTTTGCGTATCTTAAAAGTTTAGCCTAAATTTTCCAAGTTTGTCGTTTGCAATCCGTATCAATCTTCTCCTACTTTAACCATCCTTGTTCCTTTATGGATTATTGTTATCTCTTTGGTGTTTTTCTATCTTAGTAAACTGCTATATTCACGTTTCCTTAAATTCAAAGGTAATTTTATATGTGGCTAAAACAACTTAAAGTATCGTGCCTGAGCTCCTTTAAAACTAACCCTGTTGAGGTTTCTCTCACTACGCAAGGAAATTTTGACTTTCCCCAACCAGAAAATAAATTCTCCGGTTATTTGAATTTTCTGACTTGAGGTAAGCAGGGAAAAAAAACGCGCGCGGACGAAACTACAGCTCTGCTGAAAGCGAGACTTCAAGCGTAAGAGATGTTACTATCAGTTTATTTCTTGAATAAATTTATCACCAGTAAGTACAATTTACAACAAGTTCGCAGCTACTAAAAACATTCACATAATATTACTAACTGATTCATTATAGAGCAAAATAAGTCGAGAATATAGTAAATCCTAGTTCCTGGAATCTTCCGTATAGTTGCTAAGAAACGTGACGTCACCTCATGACGTCGTACCGACGTGAAAAGTTCCCAAGTACTCATGCTGTTCTGTGATTGGACGGAGTACGAATCACAAATTCTGACACTTATTTCTCCGGCTACAAGATATGAACTACGAGATTCACAGTCTGCTATGGGTTATGATATGCACGTTACCGTTTACAACTATGTCAAACCGTTGATTAATTTGAAGACTGTAGGTTCTAGCGAACGAAACAAATAAAATAGTCACGGCCATATTTCAAATACCTGGATTCAGGAAGGATCGACTCAGGCCCTGTCTGCACTACACCGCGGGAATTTGAAAACGGAGGTTACGCTCTGAACACGCATGCAAATGTTGTACGTCCACATCACGCCGGAGAAATTTAAAAACGCAACAATCACAGGTCATTTTGGATTTGTGTTTGAGGAAAACTCGATCAGGGAAATCACATGATTATAACGAGGTCATCGTTTCCGAAAAAAAATAAATCCGTTCTCAAAATGTTTTCCGTCCACACGAAAACGAAAAGCCGGCGTTTCACGCAAATTCCTCCTTTTTTAGCGACGGATTAGTGTGGACGGTAGGCCTAACCGTAGAAATAAAGCTGCGTTTTCCAAATTTCTACGGCCTAGTGTGAACGTTACCTTCAGCTGAAATTTCAATTCTACTCAAAATTAAAGGATGAACTAAATCATGTCTGTCAATTTTTTTTTCCTGGGAATTGTACACAGGGACACATAAGTTTGAAATTTACAGCTTCAACCATGATTTACACCGGAGAGTATTTAACTACACAATGTACAGGAATTTATCGTGAAAGAGGGATTTTATTTCATACAATAGGTTCTGAGATTTAGGGAAATTTCAAAGAAAAGATGAATTATAAATGAATTTCCAAATTAACTGAAGCTGCGGGAAAATATTTCAATTTTTTTCATTTTGACTTCAGGAAACGCGATTTGGGTGTTTGTCGGCAACCTCGTCCCAGGCCTTCTCCAATCTGTCATTTTGATAAAAGCCGAGGATAAGACCCTGGGGATGAGGTTGGATGAGGGATTCTTGGTAGACCACGTGATTTGCATGCAGGCACTCAATGCCTGCTCACAAAGCTGCGTGTCCTGTTGCCTGTCAATTTAAACATGTATACAACCATTTATGACTTCTAGTCTTCAAGGTCGTGACGCAACGCCCTACCAACAAGTTCGCAGCGTTGCGTGACGGCTTTGAAGAAAACTAAACTGTAACCGCCTCGTTTAAACACCGCCTGCAGCAAGTACAATTTCTCTACGGCGCTTCTCAAAAGCACCATGTCAACTACAATATAACAAAACAAGGGACCAAAGCAATTCTGGTCTGCGAACAGGTGGACACCTTCACCACCATTATCTATATTGTCACGCAATATTTCGGGAAGTAGCTTTGCGTGACGTCCAAGAGCGCGACTATCGGAGACCAGTCAACAGGCTCTCTAAAACCCACTCTCCAATTCCTGCGCCTTTTGTTTCACCCTGTCCCTGTGCCCAGACTATACAATCGCTGGCCTTCTTAAAAAGCAAAAATTATACAAGAGAGCGATAACCAGTTATCCGGCTTTCTTTTCTCACTGCACATGCTAGAATAAGAGCAACAGAGACAAAGTATTTAAGAAAGGGGAAATCCTCAAATTATAGTTAATGATCGACTTGTCTTTGCATTCCATAAATTAAGGAATCAAACTGCTAGAGAACCGTGGCCAGTATGAAGCAAACTAAGGTACTTGCTTCAGTCATTTTGTTTTTCGTTTTTGTTGTTTTTTTTTTTGAAGGGAGTAAGTAAAACACTACTAAATACCTAGAAAGAAAATGTAACAGCAGACATTGCTCCAGTCATAATTTTTTTCTGGCTACAGCTCTGGCTATACATAAGAAAATATTATTTTCTACCTTTACAGTCTTCCAGCTATTTCATTTTGCCGTTCAAACTTTGAAATTCATAAATTTTCAAAGTTTCAAACTGGAACACTATCATTCAAACAAGAACCCTTTTGGTCATAATATCTCAGACCCCACGATTGTTGTTAGACACATCACTCTAGGCAACCTAGACAAGTCCTTGAGCGAGCAAACTGATTCGAAATTCATCGAGTATTCAAAGACGATTTCCCAGAAAAGGTTCTTATCCACCAGGTACAAAATAACATTTTACTTGGACTTGAGACTAAAGTCACTGCAATGTACATTTAAGGCTTAAGAAAATTGGAAAAGCCACTGAGACAGGCATTCTTAGTGTGAGGTGGTAAAATACTTTCCTCTTTGATTTTTGTAATGAATGGTTTTCAAAACTGCACCCAGCTAGAATCAGAACTCCTGCAAAAGAAAAGAAAAAAAATTACAAGCTATAAAATGGCAACTGTAGAAAATGTAACTCCCAGTGTGCAGTCAGTATATGGTTTTCATCTATGCCAACTCTCACAGATTATCTGGGCCAGAAGTCTCCTGGATGCACACAGTTACATTGTAAAACCACCTTGTTAAGAGCAACAAACACTGCCACAAAAAATATATGACTTGAGCAATAGACCTGAACGTTGGAACCATTTTGTATACAATAAACAGTGCCACAAAATAGCTTTGATTCATTAAATGCAAAATGGCATTCCTACTGTAGGTAAGGTCTGCATACTGGCCAAGTGGCCCATTAGGCCTGAGCTTATCATGGTTTCTATAGCAAGAAGTGACTAGGAATATTTCTACTCCCTGTGGATGAGATGCTAGTCCATTGCAGGGCTACCCCAAGCATTAATTTGCCGGTACATATTTGTACACCTGGGTGGAGAGAGGTACTGTGAGAGTAAAGCATCTTGCCCAAGAGCTCGAAACTCCAGAGCTCGAAACTGGAAGGCTTGATCCAGAGTCAAGCACACTAACTATGAAGCCACTGCGCCTCTTTTCCTACTAAAAGGCTAGCAAACTTCACTTACCCTGATGCTGCAGTAAAATCTCCCCACTCTGATGTTGTCTTCTGTTGTTGATTTTGTTGTTGAACCTTTGAACTGGAAGCAAACGCTCCCATGTCGGGAAAGGGAGCCTGCGGCTGAGATTGATGAACTGTTCTTTTCATTGATGCGGGTGATGCCCCTGCTCCTGGGGGTGGGGCTAGCTTGGGAGCCATACCCCCAGGGGGAGGGGGAATGACACCAAGACCACCACCTGCTGTGGAAAGTGGAAAAAACCCTCTCACTTCCGATCTTGATGTTTCAATTAATTTCTGTGTTTTTATTTAATAATCACTATTGATACCATTCTTTGAAAATGTTGCTAATGAATATTTGGTGGCACCTGAATATGCTGTTGTTTAAAGAGTCAGCAAATCAGGAAAGTTATAAAACATGGAATTATGAAAAACCTATGCTAATCATTTATTAACAGATGTTCAATCCAGTCAAAAATTATACAGAATTGTTCTAAGTCACCTTTGCTGCACTTTACAAGTGGGTAATATGTTAACTTTGTGATGTACTTTACAGCGTTAGAGATAATACATACCAGGTTTAGGTCGACTTGTTGCACTTGCACCGGGTGCACGATTCTGAAAGATAACAACAAGGAAGACACTAAGTATCTTTAGTTACAGAAAAATGTTAAGCCTGTTCAGAGCCTATTGCCAGCTTGTCACTCAATCCTTGACCAACAATTAGTTCAAGCAAATATTACACATCTTGATTTAAGACAGCTGGCAGGGTCAATAATGAGAAACAGCCAGTCTGAATGGTTTATTGCCAGTCCAGTATTTTCGAAGAATTAGAATGTCCAAACAGAGTTTCAACTTACAGTTCTTTTTTGATCAATATGGACACAATTTAATAGATTACATTTTTTTTTCTATTATAATCTACAAATGCTTCTTGGGACTGTGCTGGCCTTTCCCCTGGCTGATTTTCATGTTTTTTGGGGGGAGCATACTGGTCTTTTGCTTTATTTGGTCTAATCAGGAAGGACTGAACTTCAATTGATTTGCACTGTATAGACCTAGTGACAACATTCACCCAGCACTGCCATTTGTGATTGGATTTTAAGATATGTGTACTTCATCAAGAAAACACGATACTCACCCCTAGGTTAATATGGATTGTTTGACCTTCTTTAAAACTCAGGTCTAACTTTGGTGTAAGATCAGGCTGCTCAGCTTCTGCTGCTATTTTTTCACTCTGTTTTATCCATCTAGATAGCAAATAAATCATACACTCAGAAATTTACTCATATTGATGGAGTCATCTTGGCCATTGGAAAATGAGACAGTGTTTCCAGTGTGACTCGCTGACCAGTTGTGGATACTTACCTTGCCAATTCATGGCTCTGTAATACCTACTACTAGCCACACCTACTGCAGGGAATAATATCGTTTAACAATTTTTCTTTGAAATTGAGGTGAATAGTGGCATAATATATACTTGCTGTGAAGTGGCAAGGTAAATATTCTGCCGCTATTCACCAAGATTGAAAAAAACAAAAAACAAAAAAAAAAACAATCACATGAAGTTTCTTTCAAAGAAATGAAACAGAAACCATTGAAAAGTTGATTTATTTGCTAACTGACCTCTCAATTCATGCTTGGAAAATGTGCAAGCAAACACAAAATTAATGTTGTCAGGACATTGATGCAAAGATTGACATATCAAGAGACTGATCAACATACTTGAAGTGATCTTGCAATGATACGTTGAAATCAAAGCTATCGCCTCTGTCTTGAAAACCCATTCCAATGAACGCATGGCGACCTGTGGTATATGAAAAACAGTTTGAGCTACCTAAAATGAATGGTTAATGCAAAACGGTTCGGGGGGGGGGGGGGGGGGGNGATGTGCAAACCATGACATAGCTCCTTTAAATAAATATATCAGGTAAGGGAAAGTAAAGTCTGCATATGAGCCAAGTTACCCATAAGGCTGGTGCTTATCTCTGGTTTCCCTAGTGTGCAGCAACTAGGGGTATGTAAAATGAATGGATGACCAAAGGGTAAAATTTGTTTCAGAACAAAGAAAACATGAAATCAATGACTATAATATCAGGTAAAGGTAGAAAAAGGTAAAGTCTGCATATGAGCCAAGTGGCCCATCAAGCCAGTGCTTATCTCCAGTTTCTGTGGCATGAAGTAGCTAGGAGTATTTCTACTCCCCCCTGGATGGGATGCCAGTCCATTGCAGGGTTTAAACCCCCAGCATTAAATTTGCTGGTACCCATTTATACACCTGGGTGAGAGTGACGTGTCTTACCCAAGAACACAACACAATATCCCTGGCCAGGGCTCAAACGCGGACTGCTCGATCAGGAGGTGAGCACACTAACCATGAGGCCAACACACCTCCACTGAGATTATGAACAAAACAAAACCAGGCATTTAGATAATAGATATTTCAAATCTTTAAATTTAAGATTGTCAATTATTTACTTAGCAGATATCTCAAATTTTTAAATTTTAAATTGTTAATTATTTACGTAATAGATATTTTAAAATTTTAAATTTTAGATTGTAATTTTAGTTAGGGGACCTAAACAGGGATAACCTCATGGTCCTCCTTTTCAAATACTCTTTGTACTCTGTATTCATTGAAGTTAGTAGTTATTATCAAGCAAACATCAAGCAAACAAAATTATGTACAATGCATACCCTTCAATATGTTCACATACCTGTTTCATCTACAATCTTGAGGACAAAGTAGCGACTGCTATCTAAAACACCTTCTACAGCGATACCTGGATAGTCATCCACAGGACACTTGGCAAAGAGCTCACCTGATCAACAAAGAATGAGGTAGTAAAATCAGAACCACAGCTTTAATTCTGGCCTGTCACAAAGGACACACACAATCCAGCTAGCCAATCAAAATATGAGACAAATACATGTAACTGAACAGTGTAAAGCATGGGAAAATGTGCGTGGGTGAGTCACGATTGGTTTTTGTTTAAGGTTACTTCTTTAAAATAATTATACATTGTATTTTAATATTGATAATGCACGTGAAAACTGCTCAAACAAATCTAAATTAATCCACACAACCAAAGACTGTGGCCAGAATATTCTCTATAACCATGTCACTGTGGATCAATTTATTGTTTTATAAATGTAGGGTCTGAAATCATCTCCCTGCCTGGAAAGTAGATCTCCTGCATGATCTAAGCAATAAAATCTTATTCTGCAAAGATTATCAAAAACAAATCCCCCTTCTTCCTCTTTCATTGTTTATAATCTTGCATATCCCTCTCCTTCTGTTCCTTAGTTGCAGATTACAAACTTGAAATTTATGTCACTTACCACTGGTCTTATCTTCTATCTTGATGTAGCATTCTTTTCCTTTAGCACACACCCTTAACCGTCCAGTCCAGTCAGGTTGATCAAGTTTCCAGTCAGCAGCTCTACAAAGCAAACAGAAGAGAATTCTTATTTAATGATGTAAATCTGATTCCAATAAAGAGCCCCTTCTTTTTTAACATGCATAGTTTCAATATTCCCTCAAACTCTTATCCCCTTACAACAATCGTATGGCAGCTAATAGATAAGTCAAACAAAGATCTTTTGAATTTAAGTTCACAAAGAACTTGTTTACCTGTACTTGTGCGCAGCTTTGGGATAGATTGAGGCCTACATTAGTGAAACTGGCCAGAAATGTTGCTAATTTTAAGAGTATAAAATTACGAACTTTAGACCTGTGACTGTATATTTACAGGCCTGTTGTTATTTTATTCAGATTTCTACTGCACATGTGTACACAGCTGAATTTTCAGTGTTAGTAGTACACATATAAAAATAGGATTAAGTATTTTTCATACTATAGATATTTCGATGCATTGTTTTTGTAACAATGCAATTTAATTATTTTATTTTTTTGTTGCGTTACACGTTTGTATTTTGATCGAGCTTACTTTAATAGCTCATAGGTGAAACATGTATAAATAAAGTGTTCATTGTTGATAGATTTAAAGACTAATTTAAATTCTTATCCTAGGGGTGAAGCCCCTGTGGCCAAATCCGTGACATGATGACATGTTCTAAATTTGGTAATTTAATTCTAGAAAACCTTGAATGATTGTGATTACCAGTATACGTAGCAAATCTATGAATTATAAAAACGAAAAAAATCAAGCACTTTAATTTAAGAGTATTTTAGAAAGTAGTATACAAATTATTTCGGTAAATTTTGTGAAACCAATTCGAATATTACGCTTAATTAAATTCACTCGTCAACAGTAAATAAGTGGCTTATAAGATACCAAATGACGCCCCTAATTTTAGAAAAATAAAGTATATGTGAAATTTTAGTACTGGATTTTTGTAAAATGTGCATGTCTTAATTAGTATTAAATTTGGATTCCGAATATTGCCGTGTGCAATATTTGTTACGATCAAATAGACAAACAGGAAAGAACGCTGAAGAGAGCTAAATGGCGAGCGAATCCCCAACTCAAAATTGCCCACAGAGAAGATTTGTCTGATGCTACGATAATGATCTCGTTTTAAATTCACACGAAGAATATACTCAAAGAACGTAGCTGGCTACCTGTATCCTCGGTTGCTTGTTCTCGGAGGAATTTTGTAAATAAAACATTCGTTTTTGACACACAAAACGCTCTCGTAGTCCTCCATCTTGAAAATAGAACAGCAACCCAGACTCCACTCCGTCAGCTCGAAAAGGACTGGGGAGATTCAAAATGGCTGCCACAGCTCTGAAAACTTCTGTTTTATTTCGATTTCAAACAAAATGTACGGACTAAATGAGTTATCTTTTGTACAGATACGCACTTTGACGCTTTCCAGAGGGCCGTGGGCTTCTCTTTATGGGCTCTAATGATGAAGTAACAGTTTATCAAGCAGTTTTGGAGGAGTGTGACTGTTTAGCTGGTTTTACTTCAGCTCCTGTTGACATTGCAAGAAATTTACTTTTGGACAATTGCGACTCTTGCAAATTCAAACTTATTTCTCCCGGAGAATTTAGGCCATGGTATGGTAAGTGTACAGTTATAAATCATTACTTGGCTAATAAACAGTTAGGAATTTTGCACAAATAGTGTTTTGGTGACAGTGAGCTAAAACCATTTCTCAGACTGTACGTGTCTTTTGCTTTTGTTTCAAAGTAAAGCCCGATGCTTGTGTATACAACTTATTATAATATTAGCAGTATATCATCATGTTACATTTTGAATTAGAGACAAATGAAAACTGGGAAAAAATGTGGGGATGGAGAGGAGCAGCGCCCAGTTGCATTTGATACCTCGGTAAATTCCACAAGAAGATCAGCAAAGTTTTGACAATTCTGGGTAATTGTGAAGAACAGCTCAATGAAAAAACCTGTTGGCCATCTGCCAGCTCTCTGTTGGCCATCTGGTGGCCGTCTGTCAGCTGACTGTTTGCAGACAGACAGGGGACAGGTTTTTTCACGGAGCTCTACTCTTCACAAATACTGAATTCTGTAGCAAAGTAGGCTCATGTGCATGCCAGCTAAGGCAGTGCTAGTTTATGCCAAGGATTATGATTGTGCCTTTATATTAGCATGCCAGTATTTTGGAAACCCATGGAAGTCTTCACTGTATAAAACTGTGCATTTTGGAACAATAATATATAGATTTAGCCAGGCCTAAAAGCGGAGCTCCTGATTGCAATAACTGACCATAAAGGAAAAAGAGAATTATTTTTTCTTACATCAGAAACTCAAAAAATGATCAATTGTGAGCATGTGATTGTTCAGCGTGTGGTTTTACCATTTTCCCAGTTAAATTTTAAGCATCTATACCCAATAAGCCTAACAAAGATTGTAGAAGTTGTGTACGCAATATATCAGGGACTTTCCAAGAGACGACCATGCAAGGAATATGTCAGAAGAAAGGTCAACCACGCACCAGGGGCTAATTTGCACCAAAATTTTGTTTTTGCGAGTACTCTCCTTCTCCCCCAGAGAAATAACCTGACTTGAGCCCGCGATCCAATCAGAAAACCTGTTACTGGTCAGCAGTCAACTTCAAAAAAACATGCAACCTCAATGAGCTCTAAACCTGAGCCCGCAATGTGGCCACGTGATACTGGTCAGCAGATAGCTTGTTGTGACAGCTGTCAATTAACAATAGCGTGGATTCCCAAAATCAAAGATGTAGCTATGGTAATGGCACTACTCTCTTGGTTTTCAAGGTATTGGCGTACGGACGTACAGATGGACATACGCACTACCAAAAGTTTTGAGATCGATGGGTTACCAAATTTTCTAAGGTATGGGGCTTGCTTGCGCGCCTTCTGCACGTAGGATCTCTGCTATGAAACCAGAAGGCGGAAAATTTGCCACCCTCCTGCTGTGTTAGAGCAGGAAAAGTCCCACATTTACTTGGCTCTTCTCTATTCTAAGCAAGAAAGACCTTCAATTTGCTTCCTCCTGCCCCTCCCCCCTCTGAGTACCTTCTCCCCCCTCCCTAGATGGGATGCTAGCCACCAGTTTGCTGACTGTTTTTGTGCCATTCACACACACCAACTTGAAGGCCACTTTACAAAACCTGTTGGTGGCAGCATCTATTTCTGCTCACAGACAACACTTTTGCTGCTATCATTTGCCTTGCCTCATGTTTTAACCTTCAAATTCTCAGAATATGTTCCTTGTCACTAATGAGGCATGGGAGGCTGAAAGCAGAGCACAAATTCAAATGCTTGCTTTCAAGGGGGTTGTTAACCTTGATGGTGATGCGCCATGTGATAGTCCAGGCCATTCTTCAAAGTATGGAACATATACTTTAATGGATGATGACACTGGCAATGTAGTGACATTTGATGTGCTACAAGTCACTGATGCATCGATCTCAAATGCACTATGGAGAAGGAAGGCTTTTCCAGGAACACAGAAATGCTTCAAAGTAAGGATGTTACCATTGGCAAGATTGCAAGAGACTGTTATGTGGTTAATCAGCAGTTGCATAGCCAACAGTGAGGATCACCTACACATCACTCATCAGTATGATGTCTGACTGGCAAATGTCAAAATGGGTGGTTAAGAAGTTAACAAATAAAGCCAAACAAAAGGGTTGTGGGGAATGATCTCCATGGATACAGTCCATCTCCAATCACCTATGGTCATCTGGTGAGACCTGCAATGGTAACATGTATCTTTTGGGCAACAACTAGCTTAGCTTTCTAGGAAATGGTTTTGAACATGAAACTTCTAAAGGATCTGACTAAGCTTACGGACTTTGATCATACTGATATCCTTAAGGAATATTACTCTATGATGCTTAAGTATTGCTCTAAAGGGGAGCATTTTTCACACCAGAACATTTCTAAGGTGGTATCCAGTTCTGTTGCACTGCTAGTTGGAGATAGGCATACTGAGAATGAAGCATCTTATCCAAGTACACAGGTGTACTGGCTGAATACCCTGTCTCAGACCTGCCTTAGAATTAAATCCTTAGTTCAGAACGATATTAAAGGCAATGGTTATATGCTTCTAGTTAGGACAGCTAGGTAGGACAGCTTTTTCTACAAAAAAAAAAACATACCCAATTCAAGACTAGAGTGCAAAAATCATACCCTATTTGAGAGCAAAATGACCCTATTTGTTACCAAAACGGCTAAAAACTATTTGATAACCTTTTTGCCTAATATAGCCCATACAAAGGCACACCCCCCTCCCTACTCAGTTAATGCGTCTGACTTCAGTTTGAGCAGTTCAGGTTCAAGCCCTGGTTGAGGTCATTGCTTTGTGTTCTTGGGCAAGATGCTTTACATTGACAGTGCCTCCCTCCTCCAAGGTGTATGAATTGGTAGCACTGAATGAAATGCTAGAGGATAACCCTGTGATGGACTAGCATCCCATTCATGGAACCATAGAAAAACAGACTGTGTTCATGTACTGGTGGGCCATTATGTTTATCACTGAATGCAGACTTCACCTGCTACCAAGAATACAACCAGCCAGTGCTAGAAGTGGACCATTTACAAACACTATTGCACCACTGTAGCACACACACCACTGTGTGGCATTATTTAAGAAATAGGAAACATGTTCCATGTTTCCATCGACTTATATTGTAACCACAAGTGGAGGTTGGGAGAACGAGAAATGTTGTGGAAGCACCAGCCAACAGGTGAGTGTTTCTACTAACAGCTTTTTTGAGTTCTCCCAGACTTTCATGAGTGTTTCTAAAACTCGATAAAAAACATGACAACATATTCTTCCTATTTCTTTTAAAAAGCACTACAAAACAAAAGAAGAAAAAATATAGTTTACTTTGCTCATTAAAATGTAAATTCTCTTTGCTCACACCATCATTACATCAATAGCTTGTGCTAGTTCTGTGTTTCTTAGAGGGTGTTTTCTAACATTTAATAATTAAAATATGTTTTTATATTTCTTTTTTTATAGACAGTAAAACCTTGATCCCAATCACCTTCAAGTTTCCTCCTCCTAAGTCATCCCAGCTTTCAGTTCCCAATTCAAGCACATCACTGCAAAATAAAACACTTGCCTCATCATCATCAGAGAGTGGTCCTTTGTTAGAGTTTCTACCAGCATATTCTGGAAAATCTTGCTTACAGCAACAGAGGAAGTCCAGTTTTAATAACAGTGGCTCAGATGATGGGATTGAATTGCAGAGTTTATTTGATGGACAACGGTTTAGTGACCTCTCAAGACAGTGTGTTTCCAGACCCAAGTTACCCAGTGAAAAGAGCAAGCTGCCACAAGAAGTAGAAGAAGTACTAAATCCAATGACTAAATCAGTAAGTGGTACAAACAATACAGTTACGATAAGATAAAAGATAGACAGTAGGCAAGACAGAAGACAGAATGACAGGGTTATTTCAGATAGTTAAATCCATAAAATTAGTTCTTTTCATGTAGGTAAAGCCAGCGTATAAGCCAAGTGGCCCATCAAGCCAGCACTTATCTCTAACTTCTGTAGCTTGAAGTGACTGGGTGGAATGTTAGTCCATCGCAAGGTTAGCCCCCAACATTAAATTCACCAGTTCCCATTTATACACCTGGGTGGAGAGAGGGTCTGTGAGAGTAAAGCATCTTGCCCAAGAACTCGAAACTCCAGGAGTCAAAACTGGACCGCTCAATCCACTTCACCACTGCGCTTCTGTTCCTACTATAAGGCTAGTAAACTTCACTTACCCTAATGCTGCAGTAAAATCTCCCCACTCTGATGTTGTCTTCTGTTGTTGACTTTGCTGTTGAACATATAAATACACTGAACCATAAACATAGATATCATAAAGCGTTTTGCCCATCTGAACAAACAATAAAATTTACCTTGTCTGTGACCGTAAAAAGCCTGGTCCAGGAATATAAAATATCTTCTAATTTCCATATAGTCTCTTTTCAATATTAACCAAAGTATTTTTCATTTTACTTCTAGCTCTGGTGTGCCAATCCTCCTCTCAAATGCAGGAAAAGGAAAGAGAAAGAACTTGTTTTGGAAAAACTTAAACAGACAAAGCTTAGTCAAGTAAAGGAGCTGCATAAACTGAATAACAATCAACGTGGAAAATGGATCTTGGGTGCGAGAAACGGCTCATCACTGAAAGGTACAAGCAGTAGTGCCATAAAAATTGACCTCTAAAATCTTGTGCTGCTGTGGCTGACTGAGCTTTTGTTTGGACCAGTATAAAGTGGCCGAATGAGGTGCCTGTATTAACGGGGTGGCTGTAAGGCAGGGCTCCATTGTAGTTGATTATCAATAAAGTTCATAATAATTAATTATTATTGTAAATTAACTGCCATGCCAAATCTTTTTGAGCTGAATCATGTTTTCAGAGTTAGGATAGAGCTAAACATACATCATCATTTTACATTTAGATATACCAGAGAATTGTCATGTTTTCTTTTTAAATTTGTTTTGTAGGAAAGAATTCAACTACAGAGCAGCTTTGGAAGAAAGTGTGTTCGTTGATCAAAGAAGGCCATCTTCCCTACTGCAATGCAAAGCTTCAGGTTTGTAATAATTTGTTTACCATATGTACTCACTTTTGTTATAAAAAGACCTGTTTAAATACCAGTAGGAACTACCATTTAACTCCAGATTTGATAGCACGAAGCATCAAAGAGTGTTGTTTGCTTCAATGAACTATAAAAAGAAATTTAAGGAGAATTAACATTTAAACTGTGTAACTGAAACAGTTAAGTCAGATTTTTAATGTGCCGTTTTATAGGAAACCCAAGACCAAGTGTGGGTGTACTGTGACTTTGGACACGCATTAAAGGTTAGCCTGATCAGGAGATGTTGAATGTGTTTCTACTACGGGCCCGAGTTTTCTATGGGTCCTATGGGCGAATAGTCAACGAAGCGTAGCCGAGTTGACCATCGCTCATACGAAACGAGGGCGAGTTGTGTGATTGTTGTAGAAGACATTCTAAGGATTACAGCACAAAACCTACATTTTAGGGTATTTTAAGCCTGAAATAAAGAATATATTTCAGTTTCAAGAGCAACGCACGCGATCGTTAACTAACAGCGATTAGTAGAATTCTACTAGTATACTAATGCAAATGCTGCAATCTGATTGGCTGAGCTACTCGTATACTATTAGCCAATTAGTGGAGAGTGGCTGGAGGTCGCCGTCGTCTACGAAATAGCAACGTTTTCTTCTTTTGCGAAGTTACGGAAGAACAATTAGATGTCTCATATGCAAACGGATAATTAAATTCCTGAGAAGACTAAAAGAAGGACATTCACGGTTCCGTGACTTTAAAAAACTAGGGGCCGGCCTCCGAACAACCAGCCTACGGTCAAAAGCAGGCCTCTGCGGAGGAGAGAGAAGCTAAGGCCAAAGCAGGACGAGAGAAACTTTCGCGCTCCTTTTTTGACCACAAAATCTCGTATGCAATCATCTTGCTCACACTGCCAGAATCGACAAGATTTTGCGCTCGTTTGGTAGGTGAACTATGTAAACTAGTTTGAATCATCAAGCATAACCATCGATTAGGCGTTCTTTTTTCGGCGAAAAAAAATGCCTGATCGTAGTTCACATCAAGCGCCGAGGGTTAAGTTAATGAGAACTTCAAAATCTTCTCCCTGATCTCTCGCAGATTGACTTGCGTCCTCCTAGCTATGGTAATATCAAAATATTCTCACATACATTTTCTAAACGCCAATTCCTATTTCATTTACAGGTCAGAAGCACCTTAGAAAATGCTCTTGGAAACGTTGAAGCCCTCTCTTTCTACGTCCATCCTGTGGGAGTTGTTATGGAGTTATAACACATACAACCAGTTAAATTGCGGCTGTAATGCTATTGGCGCGTTTGCAAATTTAGACGTGCGCGATTAAAGGGGAGGTGAATGGTTCTTCAAAAAACATAGGTCCCACAAAATTTTCGTCGAATTTCACGGGTCGCACGGTCTAGTTTCTTTACTAGTTATGTGCGTCACACAGCCTCGATTGTTTTTTTTTTTGTTTTTTTGTTTTTTTCAGACAAGGCTGTCTCGGAGTCTCAATTTTTTGCAAAGCTAGGAAAGTCTCCAAGTCCTGATTTGTTTGTTTGCCTTTATAATTTAAGACGTCTGAACCGCTAGAGCCTAAACGTCTCGCGCTCGCATTTAAACCACTTTGAAGTCTCGGTCTCGCAATTAAAAAGTCCAAATGTCTCGGGCGCGCAAAGAAAAACGCTAGTCTCTCCTACTCACAAAGTCTTGGCAGTTACCATTTACCGCTCCTGCGATTGACCGTCGCAAGTCATTGGTTTCCCTCAGACACAGGATTTTCAATCAAAGGGTTGAAAATAATTGCAGTAAATCCAGATTTTTCTATTGACGGAAAAATGAAGTAAATGGAATTTGAAAACCGCTGCCTTTCAGCAACAGTCTAGAGTTAAAATTTAATCAGTCAGCAACATTATTTTAATATTTCTGGCTCACTAAAAGTCTCGCAAAATTCCGAAGATGAACAAAGCTAAAATTGTGAGGTTGCCTCGCGTTCACGTGTTTTTCACTGGTGTTTTAAACTGGATTCCTTTTAGTTTTAGCGCATCGACAAGCTCCGTAAAGGGTAACAGAACGAAAAGCAATCACTACGTTGTCAATTTTTGTCGCCCTATACGCTAGTTAGAATTGATAGCATTTTCCATAAAATTCAGGGAGCATTTTAGACACTTTTAGTTAATACAGCGATACATAGGGTAGCAAAGGGCAGATATGTGCACGTGACGTGGGGGGTGGGGGGCCGGGTGTACAGGGTGATTTCCAGATCACGTTTCACGGAAAATGACTTCGAACGTCACTGATATCGTTCACGTAACTACGGATGTCGGCCGCAAAAGCTACGAGGCATTGACTAACTCTGTTGGTTCCCACTCTTCACAACAATTCAGAAGATAGCGTTTCACGGTTCACGACAATTTAGAAGATACCGTTTCACCCTTTACATCCCTCTTAAATGTACCGTACTGTTTTACAGTTTATTGAAATCATGGTTTTAAGATCATAATAAAGTATGTATGTATGTATAATTTATTCCTTACAATACAATTTGAGCAGCTTAAAGTGATATTTATTAGAAAAGGGTTTGGCCCTCCAGCTTTGCCCTTATTCAAATCTATGCTGCTAGTTAATCAATTCAAATAATTTATCGTTACTTTGTATGTGGCTGGTTTCCACATGTTACAGATGATATTTAGCAAATCTTGTACCCAGAGTCTTCAAACTTCTTGATCATTCGCCACTGTAGAAACGCGAAGAAGCCTGGGGCAAATCTCGTCTCGCAGTCGCTTGTGGGATAGTTCCTTGGGACAGTAATGGTCCCATCAGCCACTGCGAGATGAGTTTTTTTTTCTGGTTTTCTGGTTCTAAAGTAGCGTTGCAAAGACCAACCGCTGATCGAGTTGTCTGAAGATTCATCCAGTGTGCAATATTTATTCTAGCATAGTGCTTTTTAACTTGGAAGAAGGTATTTATTTAATATTGTTAATCACATTATAATTCAACGCATTGTTAGTTAGATGCGAACCCTTTGGAATTTGTTCTCCACATTAAAAAAAATAAAATAAAATAAAAAAAAAAATAGAGCAGACAACCAAAGGAATGGTATGTTCGTGTGAACTTTCTGGGGAACTAAAGGTGTTAAACCCATTTCAATATGATTCAATCATACGAAAATCGTCTCAGAAACTGCCACATTGTTGACTTCAGCTACTCAAAGATTTTCAGGTCTACAAACCGTGACCAGGATATTCACTGAAAATCTCTGATTTTTGCAATCTCCGTTTCCAGGTCTTTTCCCTTGAAGTTTGGGAGGGCCCTGGAGTCGAGGTTGAGATCGTTACTTCACGCGTGAAGCAAAGGAAATAGGAATGGGTAAATTAAAGGGAAGGAAAGAGGAAATGGAAATCTACATGTGGGCCACCAGGAATGTTACAGACGTGACTTTGACCAGTCACGCATGCGTCACGGGTTTGTCACGGGCCATTACGGGTACAATCGTGTTTGACCTCTCTTGACCGTCAAGGGTTTTGACCATCACACAACACGCGTTTTTAATCATCAAGGGTTTTCATAGGCCACATACGCAGACGTTCTTATGGTTCGTCACGCACTCTTCTCTTGAGTAGTAAAACCTAAATTTAGCCGTGTTGTCATCGGTTATGTCGACGAGAGATAATAACAAAAATCATCAATCAGTTTTCTATGGACAGGAGACATCTTCGTCTACATGGAAATGTAGAAACCCCGGGAATTTGCTTTAACAGTACCAGTACGTTATTTACATGTGAAATTCTCTGTTCCTGCCTCCCTCTCTCAAACCGCCAGTTTGTGTGCGTCACGCAGATGAAAAAAGCGTTGCGTGACTCTATTTTAAGTTTGTGCAGTTTTGAAGGATTTGGAGATGTAATTCTTTGCTATGTTATAAGTAGCACGATTTCGATGGAATCAAATTTGATATAAAAGTAGCCGAAATAAATGGAAGATTTAAATTTAGTTCTCTCGTAAGAACTGTGAGGGATTTTATCAGTTTATAGGTAGGTATGAGTTGTTTTCCCAGCGGATAACAAATTTTCTTTTCAATCCAATGTATAGCAAATCGGCTTTGAGCCTGAATAACAGAAAAAAAGATTTCGCACAAATATGCAGTACCCCGCTCTGGTCAGCTGCACGCTAGGACACGCTACGAAAAATCAATATTTCAATCCGGGGCATCGTCGTCATATCTCTCTTAGCGACCCTTGGAGCATGCTCAGTGTGGGTTTATCGTGGAGCGTTACAACTTGTAGATTATCGATGTGTACATTTCTGAAATAATTCCTCTGCGACTGCAATATAATTCACCATTGCTTCACCCCAGCCATGAGTGCGGATTATCCGTATTTGTCGTACCTGGCTTTGTATATTGTTTCCGCCAGCTTGTGGAGTTCAGATACTATGGGAGCGACACACTGGATTCTGAACGAGAGGGATGGAGTTGTACGTGCCAGCAGTGGAAATGACATACTGAAATCCGATCCGGTGCTGTCTATTCTGACGAAAACTAACCCTCCCAAGACGGGAAATGGTAGAAAAACAAACTGTGACCAATGCAGTAAGGGCAGATCTCATGGTCTAAGGTGAGAGCGTTAGCGAGATTTCGAAAGACAGTAGGTTTAATTAAAGACTGTAAACTTGGTTTGTTTTGACGTGCGGAGAAGCCATATCGCATATTATGATTAAAGTCACGGCGATAGCTTTTTACTCTTTCACTTGAAAACTTTAGCACTTTGTTTGACTAAATCCTTTCTCAGTGAGCGGGAGTTTAAAAAAAAAAAAGAAATGAGAATTCATTGTGATCTGAGTGTTTTTGATGTTCACTGAAGATATATGACATAAACACACGAGAAAGCAACGTGTTTAATTTACATTTGAAGTGTTCAGGTACAAAGTGCTAATGAACTGCGAGAGCACTTCAGCGGGGAAAAACGTTTCTGTTCCCCTTGCTTTTTTGATTGGCTTTAAATTTCTTTCATCGAGAGCTTGTTTATGTGTTAATTTAGCCACGCGCGGTCAGCCGTCAGCGGCCATTTACAGAGTGACAAGTCTCGACTCATAACGTTTGACGTCTGTTTAAGCGTATGCAAAAACAGTTTTCACCTCTCTTTTAGCGTGTTACAAAATAATGTTTTAACTTGCCAGAGTTTTGGTTTGGTCGATAAGCGGTCACATTTGATCCCAACGGTAGCAAAATGTGTCTACATGTTGTTTGTGTAAAGCTAGCTAAGGGAAGAAGCGAATTTAACTTTATGGAGCCAAGCTGAAGCGAGCAGTAGCTAGTAAGATAAGTACACAGTAACAACCTTTCTCACGAAGAAAGGCGTTTTCCCGATACTCACAAATTTTTGGTTTGGATCATCAGTAACTTTGAATTGCATGCTAAACAGAACAGAAATATGTATAGCAACCAGCCCACCTGCCTTTGTGCAATTTGGTACAAGTCCCCTTATATTTCTTTTTTGATTTGTAAACAGTCGAACTCATGACTAATACGAAAGTCTTAAAAAAGAACTATCAGTCAATATTTTGACACCCTTCTACGACAGATTTAAGTTTGTGCATTCACATTTTTGTTGACTACAATCAGGCTTGATATTTTTAAGTTTAAGTTAAATATCCTGTGGTCTCAGACTGACTTATGTGTAATTGAGAAGTGCTAATCAATTATTAAACGATGACTACCTTTTAACAGTTTTTTTGGGTCAACTTGAAGTTTGCATCAGTACTTGAATAATTTTAAAAAATGCCGATGTTGGTTTTGTAAATAAATATGCAAACTGATTGAGTATAGGAATCTGAATATGCATATGACAAAAAAAGTTCCAGTTTTTTATGTTGTTGTTACAATTTAATTTTTATGGTTCGAGAGTTCAGCACATACTCTTTCTTTGTTGTGATAAACTTCACCAAGAAAATAATTTATTACTAGTGATACGACCAGATAACTCAGTTTTATTATAAACAAAATTGCAATACCAAGTTGCTATGAATCACATTATGTGATATTATTTTTGAACTGTTGGTTTCTAAATTACAAGTGAAAATAAGTCAATTTCCCAGTATGAACTTTGAACAGGAGTACCTCAAATGTGTTCACAATTATTACGCTCACACAAGGCCTTTCGTATGCTTTGCTTAGTGTGCCCGCAATACGTAAAGAAGCTGCTGAATTTAACTTGGCGATCTAGTCGGTGATCAAAGAATTGTGGGTTTGTTTTGTTGCATCTGTTTGCATAAATGCTATCTTTCATCCACAAGTAACCGGATCAATTTTGACAGATGAAAAGGTGAGTCACCCACTGGCAACTAGTTCTTACATCTGGTTGCCAACACTCCATTTTTTGGCAGCATTGGGAACCAGCAAGTCACAATTTCAAGCCCTGTTATTGCAAACGGAAATAAAGAGAACAAAAAATTAAGCTGGTAAATGTAAAAATTTTAAAACTGTCCAAAAACATATTTAAACTGCAACATGTTATAAAGTTAAACAGATAAAATAAATATTTATTTTAAAATAAATAGGTAAATAAATAAATAAATAAATAAATAAGTGAATAAATAAATAAATATATAAATAAATAAATAAATAAATAAATAAATAAGTAAATAGGAATTTGCAGTAGCACATCCCATGGAGAGGCTCTTTGTCCACTGTTTCCAGATTGAATTGCAATTTAGAAGTGTTGTGGAGGGAGGAAAACCAGAAATCCTGGATAAAAATACATGAAGCAAGGCAAGAACCAACAGCAACAACAACAACATTTGTTTATACCAAAAAAAAGGAAAGACTGAAGAAGAATACAACTCACTTAAAAAGCTGCCTCTAGGAACACTTTCACCACTGTGCCATCCCTGCTCCCAATGAAATGATACAAAATACAAACAATATTAGAGCAGTTTTCATTCAAGTTCTGAAAAGTAATATTGGTTTTGCACTTACTACACTACGCGATTGCTTAAAAAACTTTCGCCAATTCTTTATCCAACCAGAAGTAAAACCAAAACCAATCGTGATTTGATCGCACACATTTTCTTGTGCTTTGCATCAGCCACATACTTCGAGTTTTGATAGGCTCACTGTATTGTCCTTTGTGATTGGCTAAAGTGATTTGGTTAAATTTGCTTTACGACACTCAATTGAAATCTACTCTCTGTGAAATCTAACAAGGGATAACCTTTTAGAGAGGATTTTGTTAACAGTTCTGTGGTGCCTGGCTTCTGTTTCACTTCTAGACTACTTAATAGTACTGTGTTAGGTTTGAATATTTTTTTGTCTTTTTCACAGTCCTGTAGTTGGCGCAGTGGGTCCCACATCTTTAGAGTTATTTCCTGCCCCACAGTTAACATGTGGTCCGTCAGTTAATGAAACCTTCTATGATCACTTGGAAGGAATTGCAAACCGCGAATACCATCCAACCTTTATGGAGCCTGATGTGGCCATGCTCTTCAAGAAGAGTGAAGTTGAAGACATTGATTTAGGTCTGATTGAATCAAACTTAAGAAGAGCAATTGAAGAAGTGAGTATTAAATGTCATTTGAAATCCAGGACTGGCAGGTTCAAGTCTCACTCTGACCACCAAGCTGGAATTGTTTGTTCTCCTCTGTCATACTTGTAAATACCCAACTGGTCTGCCTCCTGCCAGTTGGGATTTCAAGCCTGTTATGCTAATTTGAAATATTTCTTTCTTTCACTTTAAGTGGCATGCCTGAGAACCTGCTAATTGTAGTTAAGCGCCTTGACCACTATAAGCACTCAACATCGAACTTTTTTTTAAATAACATAGTTTTAGTCAGACAATATATGGACCTGTCGACAGACAGATGTACACCCAGTTTACATGTAGACCAATATAAGTCAGACAGTATATGGACAAATTTATGGACCAATATTGAATCATTGCACATAAAGTGATTACAAGTGATAAACAAATCTTAGCTAAAAAATAATTTAAGCTCTAAACTCAAGTACGTATCGTGCTCTTCAACTCATGCTCAGGTTTCAGTCTATATCTCAAATACAAAGGGTATGGGTTTTGGTTGAAATCACCTGGTTGACACCATGTTTACTTTAATTGTGACAATCTCAATATGTTGTCTACAAAAGAAGATTTTGTGTCAGAACTGTACACATTCAGCTGGAATAATTTATAATTATTTATTACTTTATCACATAGGGCGAAAAGAATTTTACAAAACCGAATTCAGTGATGGTTAACCTTAAACTAAAGTGGCGAGGATACCTAAAAGAAACTAGAAAGATTACAGTCAGGACAATAGGTGTTTAGGCCTCATCATTACGCATTAAAAATGATTTGAAGTTATAAACCAGACCCAAGAGAGAGGTGAAAATGGAACGTAAATCATGCAATGACATCATAATCACACTTGCAAATTTTAACATTTTGCCTGCTGGTAATTTGAAATGCCAAGTAGCAGAGGTAAAATAATCATTAGAAAACATTCCTAAGAAAATACGCGCACTGATTGGTTAAAAATCGTGTTTCTATAACTCGATGGAAACACAGAACTAGCAGTTAGTTGGTCCTTGCAAAAAATGGTACCAGAAGAGCTCTTCCAGCCTTACTTGTAATTTTATTGCTTGTGTTTCTTCGTCCTGCCCCAACTTATTGCCTTGGGTCTCTAAGGATGAACCTCAGGCACACCAGATTGGTCTCCTTTGAGGTATAATTTGCTTTCCTTGTTCCTTTAACCTTGAATTCCACCTGGGAGCCAATCGTCAAAGTGTAGCCCACCAGGTGTGACCTTGGGAATCCATGCAACTAATGGGCCATTTCCAAATTACGTTTAGCCTTTTTCTCAAAGCAAGTCTTGGTGCCTTACCTTTCCTTTCATATGAAAATGAGATTTCACTCACATGCAAATCAAACTCATTTTCATGTGAATGGTTGGGCACCAGGCGTCGCTTTGATAGAGAGGCTTAGGTCAACTTGGAAATGAGCTATTGGTATCATAAGGCATTTACAGACAAGTAAAATGTCTCTGTTAAGCTTTCTGTTCTATATTGAAATCCACCTAGTTTTACTCACTCAGAATGACGTTTGTTTGGTAACATATCAAAAATCACCTGTGTTTCCATCCAGTCCAGTAGATTTTGTAGCCTGCAAACAGGTTCCTGGTGAACCCAAACGAAGCAAAGGAGCCTGTAGACATTCTATTGATGTCACCGTTCTATGATACCAGCTCTTGGTATCATGATATGATTGGTTAAATCGCTGATTGTTGACATCTTTGAGATGAATATTTGACAGATCTTTGTAAAATTATACAACTCCAACGGTTTGTTGCAATAGTGCATTTGCCGTTCTCTTTTAAGGTTTGGTCTCTCGACCTCTCATTATTTCACAAGCAATTCTGAAGGGTACTTTATGTTCTGTTATGGGGAGGAATTTTAAGTAGAAGCTAGTGGAGTGAAGCCATTTGGCGGTGCTATAGCAATTTATTTTAAAGGTCAAAGGCATGGTTTCCGGACTTTCCGCTGTTATCTGCTTGTCGCTTCGCAGAGTTTGACACCTCTATCATGCGCTTATAATTTCTTTAGGCTCATTTCAGTATTGCAAAATATGTTCTAAGCTCTCTAAGTATTGGCTCTGGAGGGACAAAGTGTTTGAAATATTCCGTGAACATGTTGCTTACTTGCACTCTATATTATGACGCCTGGCCCGGCTATTTGATTAGCTTGATTAAAACTGTTTGCAAGTACCGAAAATGTAGCTTCTTGACAGGTCTAATTACCTCATTGACTGATTTGTTACAGGCTTATCACCAAGGGTGGATAGGCACATCAAAAACAAAGTTCCCCTGTCCCCACCCTGATCACTTTGCTCTCTGAATTCTTCTGTTTCACTCTTGCTGAAATTTTTTTCTGTCCTTGTCGGGAGCCTGTGTGCAGGCTTTAGATTTTGTTGCTGCACCTACTGACCAATGCTGTTTGCTTTCTTCACAGAGTCCAAATTCAGTTGTTGTATGTAACCACGTTGGGAATTTCTGGAGAATCAGAGGAAGCACGTACCACTCCATAGAGTGCTTTAGACGAGCCTTGTATTATTCACCAAATGATGCCGATGCCCTCCTAAATCTTGCAAAGGTCCTATTCAATTTGAACTATGTTCAAGATGCTGCGTATCTGGCACGGAGGTCACTAGAAATGCAGCCTTCTGAGCACAACTGTTGGTTACAGCATTTTACCCTTGGTGAAATTCTGAGGGCAAGTGGAGACCTGGAAGAAGCAGGGATCCATTTCAGACATGCATTGGACCTCAACCCAGCATTTGAACTGGCAGAGGTGCACCTGCGGGAGATTGGATCACCGTCCACCTCTACCACAAATACATACACATTCTTGATAATAGGCCTACTTGTGGTGGTTGTCTTAGCCACAGTCTACTTCATGACGCTAACAAGTGAAAGTCGTGGGACAAAGAGCAGCCGCATGCCACTTTGGTCAGAAGGAAAAAGACCAAAGAAGAGACCTATCACATGAAGCATTCTGTATTATGAAAACTCCAGAGACATTTTTTTTTTGCACAATAGGATGTCATTAATTTGCATCTTTGCAACCTGAAAACTTTTTTAAAGAAAACTGAAAGTTGTCAATCAATCTTGTAAAAGTATTTGACATGTAGAGTCACAAATCCCATGAAACTGGAGGCTATGCTCTTTTATAAAAATTTGATATTCAGATATTTGCATGGAAATTAGCTGTTTTTAATTAAAGGAATGTCCCAACAATGTTGTTGCCTAAATATGTTTAATTGAAGAGATTTTTATATTTTATAGTGGACCTCCGGCAGCCCAAAGGGCCACCAAGCAGAGCCTCATAACTATTATGATAGGAACAGGACCACATGCATGCATAGAAAATCATGCAACTCTTTCTTCATGGTCAACATGGCTAGCAGCTTGAATCGTAGGTGTGTGGACCCTACAAGGAAAAACGATGATGTTGCACAACATGGCAGCCATACTCTAGCTAATAGATTGACTGAGACATGCAGCCTTGGTTTATATCGTACTTCTTTGATATTGGACATCCATGTTATGGTCAATATTGACACCTGTCTAAACAAGGTATCCGCTGACCAGTATCACATGACCATATAGTGAGCTCAGGTTAAGAGATCATCAAGGTCACATTTTTTTAAGTTGACTGCTGACCAGGTACTGGCTTTCGATTGGATTGCAGGCTCAAGCCATACTAAGGTGTAATTAGGAGCTCCGCTTTTAAGCTTGGCTAAGTCTATATATTATTTGAACACATCCACGCTCTCTGTTTCATATTTGATATATATATTTTATTAACAAACTCTGTGGGAAAAGGCAGCTGTTTTCTTTTTCAGAGGCACATACCATTATAAAAACACTTCTGAAACATTTTGATGCATACAACATTAAATATTAACTTGATCCTCTGATGCTGCTGCAACAAAATTTAATTCCAATGGTTAATTTTTAACACACCAACTGAAGGAATGAGTTTCTATTTACACTCTACATGTATTTACAATGCTATTACATGTACCAACTTCAGACTCGTTGCAACACAGCAAAACATCAACCCTTCCTTCACTCAAAAACTTTGTCCAAGAATATTCTACCACCATATAAATGCATTATTCTGGGGTTTTTTTTCCTGTCTATGCCTCTGTTAAGTCATCATTGAAATACAAGTGTAAGGCAGGTAGAAATTGTTCATCATTCATGCTCAGTTTATAGAACTCTTCGCTCTCATCGGGAACTCCATTTTCTTCTAATGTCTTGTTCATGTCCAGGTTTCTTCCATTGTACTTCCAGGTATAGCTGGCAGCATGTGCATTGTATTTAAGGTAACGGTCTTGAATTTCACTAAGAATTTCCTCAGAACAAACCTACAGAACAAAACAAAAAAATCATCCTATGAATCTTTCCTGCCTTGCTTACAAACAAGTAAATATTCAATCTGGGGTTGACTAACCAAGCTGGCATTGAATCAGATAGATCTATCTATTAGTTAAAGATCTCTCAACTTTCAAAATCCATTTCTGTGCCACTATATAACCACCTAAATTTGTCACTTTGGTTTGATGAAGGGCTATCACTTGAAACATCACCTACAAAAACTTTTTACAGCGTGACTAATTTTACCTTCAACTTCAAGTTGACAAATAGCCAAGTGCCATCAATTCTTGAGGTTTTGGCCCATTTTATGCCACAGGGAGGGGAGGTTGAATTTCCATTTTTGAAAAGGTCAGGTATGCTGTCATCCCACTTAGGGGTGTGAAACAAGGATTTTGGTCTTGCTTACAGGTAGGGTGTTCAGGATGAAGTGCCACTGTTTTTAGCTGTCAAGGTATGGGTGCAATAGAAGAAATAACAATAACAAACTCCTCTCAGTTCTGTTTTTAGGCTCAATTTCTGCCACACTCTCGAGTCTGGTCTACTAGCATGGGCTCTTTTCCTCAACAGCAGCTATCTGAACAGCAGGTACCTTTTTAGGGGTCAAGTAAAACTTGAGCCAGACCAAGATCGAAAAAAATGGCATGTAATTATGTGGACTAGCCTTCCAGAAGGATAATCAAGAGCTGTTCCCCTTCACACATTAACANAAGTAAAACTTGAGCCAGACCAAGATCGAAAAAAATGGCATGTAATTATGTGGACTAGCCTTCCAGAAGGATAATCAAGAGCTGTTCCCCTTCACACATTAACAGAATAATTTACTAATAAATAACTGATTGGACATTCAAGCTATTTGATTTCAGATTAGAAGCTACAGTTTACCTCAATGGCTTGTTCTTGTGAGGTGAGTGTATTGATAATTCGGACTCTTCTAGTTTTAGCTGAAAGCACACCAATGCAGTATGAATCATCTTTCCACCATGGCCGACCAAAGTCATTTGCCCAGTCTGTTCTTGGACACTTAGGAGGAGTGTGTATGAACCTTCCTCTTGGAGTGTAGTAGAATTTGCACTTGGTTACTGGGTCAATGTGAGTTCGGATCTTGAAAAGAAGAAAGTAACTTACAGTAAATGACTAGTGGCGATTGGACATCATCAAGTAGACTGAATTATTATTAGTTTAAGAGAAAAGAAAAACCCATATGTAATGTGCACTCAAATAAAAGTGTTTTTGCACACTTTTCCCATTTCTCTTTCTTTTGTGATTGCTATTAGTGCTCGGTGAAAGGTCATCTGAAGCCAAATTTCATGGATGTCTGACCATTTCCATGTGTTTTGAAACACTCCATATTTGCAATGCTAAGGACATCTCAGGCTTGAAGAAAAGATCTTAATAATGATTAGTTTTGCAAAGTCTTGAATTTATCATTTGCCATTTTACGACTAACCAGATAGGCCAACATTTGTTTCATAATGGAACAAAATTTTCCTCTGGATCTCTGACATATCAACCAATCAGAAATGCTGCTTTTATAACTTACAATAACACAACCAACATAAAACTCCCAGCTGGGGAGGAACCTGTCTTACTTCTGACTGTCTAGTTTTAGTATAGCACTCAAGTTGAAAATAAAGAGATAAAAGAAAGAACCATACTAGAGGGAGACGAATTAATTTGCTAGATAATGTGCTGTACATGTAACTGTGTAGTGCAAGTTAATCCTCAAACCACATTCCATCCAGCTTAGACCAGAACTTGAAAATAACCTAACTTGAATAAATGGATGGGAAATAATGGAAAAGAAACCACTTTATTAGCATGACATGTCTTAATGTATGCGCTACTGATTTAAATTGAAATGAAATTATACTCAGCTTACATCTTTTGTCTTCTTGTCAAACCAATGTGTAATGTCTTTTCCTGCAGCTTCAATAATTGGCTTCAAAAGAACATCACCTAAAGCATGTTTGAACATCAATAATCATGCCGAACTGTAACATTACAAATGAGTAAACAATTATCAATACAAGGCTTGCATTACAAGTCTGTTCTGTTTACCACTCACGTTTTCAGCTGGTATTTAATACGTAATAATTAATTCCTCCAAGATTTGGGCGGAAAATATGCTTTTCTGATGCATGTCCGTGACAGATATTTAAGACTTTTTTGAGGAGATACTTTCAAGGATACCAATGAACGAAAAATACTACACTACAAAGGTTCAGCTTGCATGGAGCTTAGACCTGCTTAGAGTCTCACGTCTGACGTGGAAGATCTGAAACTCTCCTTACCTGCGTGTTTCTCACACATCGGCGTTAGGTCGTAGACCTTGCCTAAAAATGATACCCATAGATCCTTCAGGGTGTTGTGGATATTGACTTCATTCGGTGTGTAATATTTTGGTCGTTTTGACGTTATAGCTGGCATATTGAGCGCTTTACGAGCGTTTTCTCCTCTTTCAACGGTGTCAAGAATTACGAGTGTTGCAACATTGTCTTGGCAACCGCTTTGCGCAAGAACTCTGACACATACATGAAGTATCTCTTGTTTGAAATACGTACGCTGACCACGACAACGCTGTTTCATAATCGAAGGTTTTCAAAAAAGTGCGCTTGGATATTTGAACTTTGGTTGCTTTTTATTTTAACATTATTATGGTTTTGGATAACCACAATTGACTTCACTGTGCTCGGTATTGCGACTTTTAAATGAATTCTTGTAGGTGGTAGTTCAGTTCCCAGGGCTTTAAAACATTTTTATAGACCTCTCAGTGAATACGTGTTCGCCAGATATTCCAACATCAAAGGTAAGTTGTGACGTCAAAGGTGTCAAACATTATTGCATGAAGTTGGTGAAATTAACTTTAAGAATCCTTTTTTACGAGATTCCCTTTGAATGGGCTCAGAGAGTACAGAGGAATTTCTGGTGATCGCTTTTTCCATTTTTTGAGAATAAGTTAAAATCCTAAAGTAATATGCTGAATCATCTTAAAAGTTTTAAAAGATAATCCTACTTCTTTATTATTTAGTTGACATTTTATAATGCTGTCAGCTCAAGACATGTGTAAAAAGACTGTTGATCAGCTCTGATAACTGTTACCCTGTGAGACATGGATTTCTTTCACTTTCTGTTCAGCGAGAGACGAGAGGAAACCTCTGCTTGCAGCCACTCAATGGTTTGATCAGCAACTGTCCACAATCAGGGATGAATGAATTAAAAATACTGGCTCTTGTCAAGTTTTAGCACCAGTTTAAGGCTTACAGTGCATGCATGACAGATGGGATTCAAAATGCTGTCTGTTTAGAAGACTGGCAACAATATCTGCTCTCCTGTGATTGGTTAAAACATTTACAATTGGCAATTTTGCAACTGACTTACATTTGTCATGTACGCATCAAATTTAAAATGTTTTGTCCAATGGAAAATTGACAATCTTTTCACAGTTCCTGAAACTGCTGCTACACATTGGCTCAAGTTTACGATTTCAGCCAATTAATACATTAGCATCTACATTGTATGGCAAATGAGGAAGAAACTGGAAAGAAGCTACCTACTTTGTGTACATGTAGCAAATTACATTACTTCTTTGTTAATGATATCTAAGTGGTAGAAAAGTACAGCGCATGCTTTTGTAACCCCTCAACTTACTTACTGCCTTGTGCACCCGTTGGCTCTAAGGGCAGCAACAAAGTTCCTCCACTCCTGTCTGTCTTGTGCTTTTCTCTTGAAGACTCCCCAGGTGCAATTTAGGGTGTTCAGCTCAGTTTCGACCATCCTCCTCCAACTTGTCCTTGGCCGTGTATGCTTTCTCCTACCAAAGTAAATCTTTAAAGGCACGGTTAATATCTGTGTTATTTCTGTTTATGACAGGGAGTTTCTGTTCTCAGAGTATCACAGATACTGATGCCTCTAAGGGCTGTTGTTATGTTTTGAGTCACTTGGTGGCTTGATCATCATATCCATAGCAAACCTATTGCTTTGGGGATACGATGTATATTGATATCAATAACTGGCAAGTTCAGTCGCAACATTAAGGGCCCATTGAGCTTACTTAACCATGATAGGTGTTATAGATGTAGGTCATGGCCCTTAATGACAACCATGCCCATAGTTACAGGTAATTGTAAAGAGAAGCTCGCAAAAAAAACCCTGTGGGCCATCTGTCAGCCACCTGTCGACCAACTGTCGGCCATCTGTCGGCCATCTATCGGTTGACTGTTGGCCAACTGTTGTTGGACAGACAGCTGGCAGGATTCGACTCAAGCACAGACCATCAGTTGGAAGACAGATGGCAGTGATTCACAGTAGACACAACATTTTATTTTCATCTGACAGTTCAAAATGGCAATGCGTGACTTGGTAGAGGGGGAATGTGGGAGTGCAAACCCTTTGATGAAGCTGGTGACACACTTCACGCAAGATCAGTCATTTCGCCAGGTGAGAGTTTTTTTTTTCTTTTTATAAAGTATTTTCCTTGCATGTTGTTCATTAGCTGAGATTCGTGCGGGTATTTTTCTCAGACAAAATGCTAATAATTCCTTATCAGAGTACCAAGTATAGATTGACATAGCCTTTACATTTACATGTAGGAGTTATTTGTAAAAACTTGTAGGCGAGTAGAAAATGTTGTTATAACCTGAGAGAGGCAGTGTGGCTGAGTGGTTAGGTCACCAGAGTGTTTTGACCACTAAGCTAGAGTTGTCTCTCGGGAGCCCCTCCTTCAGCCCCTAGTTCAGCCAACTGGTCTGCTTTCCTCCACTGCTTACCTTATTTGTTTTGACAGGTGTCAATTGACCAAAACATAGATGTCCAATATTAAAACTCTCTGCTGTAAACCAAGGCTGCATGTCTCGGTCGACCTATTGGCTGGAGTGTGGCAGCCATGTGGTTGTCATTGTAGGGCGCTGTTACCCACGATTTACATGCCACTAACCATGTTGACCTTGAAAAAGAGCTGGCTTGTAATGTTTTCTATCTCTGTGCATGCACGTTGTTCTATTGAGGACTACAGTTATGGTGCTCCAAAGGGCTGCTAGAACTCAGCTATAAACAACATTTTGAACCTCATTCCTTTACGTTGTCATCCTGGGACATTTTCATAATGGAAAAATCAAATAACTGCTTGCTCCTCTATTCTTAACTCCTGTTTCACAGCTCACTTCAGGTTCTCTCTATACCGTCTAAGGTGCACAAAGATGCTTCTATGATTGCTATTAGTGTATAAAGACAAAGAAAGTGAAGTTTTATCCTTATTTTCACGCTTAGAGATTTTAACTCTTAGCTTAATTTGTTTATTTCTTTTGCCAACAGGAAGGTCTGGTGCAAGACAGATTTGGACCTCCAAGAGAATTGGTAGGCTGTTGAAAAAAAGTTTTTCAATATGGTTTATGTGATTGCACTGGACACTTTGGCAAATAGATTCAAAGATGCTGTACATATTTAATTTAAAACACCTACACTGGACATGTAATGAACTGGTGAGCACTTTAGGCTGATAAAGACAATGAAAGTTATACCACTGTATGTAGCAGGTTTAATTATGAGGCTTACGTCAGACCATGGAAACGTAAGCTTCACATACTTGCTACAGCAGCAATTATTTCTTATTTTCACAGTTTGATTTTATTTTGCAGGGTGAAAGAGCTTTTCATGAAGCCCGTGAAGAAGAGGTATTTGACTGTGATTAAAATATACTAAATATAATGTCTTTGATACTGTGAAAATCTTCTGAGCTGTTCTTTACAAAACAACAGTCACTTATTTATAAGAAAATGCATAATTATATTTTTGATTTCCAATTTTTTTCAAAACTGTATGTGAACCTCATAGAGGATAAATGTTTGGGAGAAAACATCTCTGGAAGTTCATTCTTAAATTTTAGTAACTTTCTTGTCTAACTTGTTTTTAGTTGGTGTCAGAGTTTCTTCGTGATCCAAGGACACATGCGCCTCCACAGTCCTTTCGCATGGGTGACTTGCTCCATGAAATGAAAGAAATTGAACAAAGAAACCTCCATCATACTCCAGTTAGAGGTGTGTGATCTTAACTCGGACATATGGATTCTTTAATGTGCAGTTTGAGAAAATATCCAGCCTATTAATTCATCCCAAGGAAGGTTATTGGAAATTCTGATGGGAAGGGGGCCTCCAAAGGACAAAACTTTTAATAAAGAAAACTATGAAGCCAAATTGGCATCGAGTAGTTGGTTTTTTTTTTTTTCCTGAAGTCCTGAGCGTAATTAGAAAAGTTCAAATTGTGCAAATTAGGGAAAGAAACAAGAAGGGAGTGAGGTAAGAAAGGGGAAAAAATGAGTCCTAAAGACTGAGCAGTGGTCAAAAAAAGTAACATCCAGTCATCTGGGGCAAGTAGATTTTCATTCTGGGCGAGCAACTTTTCATTCCCACTTGCCCGATTTTCAGTGGACCAGGCAAGTCATCTGCCAACGAAATCATTAAAAGAGCAAACTAAGACTAGAAAGAGATGTCCCTGGCAAGCTGGAATTCAATTTTTTTCAGCCTTGCTGTGGTTTTTTGTTATTCAAAAATTCCTGCTTCTGAGAAATGAGAAATACTGATTGGACAACCACCTGTCAATCTGTCAACAAATTCATTAACTAAAGAGTCTCTTCTGAATAATAATGAGGAGTTGGTGTGCAAGGAAAAGCAGGATAGATCCCAAGCGCAAACAGCAAGAACCTATATCACATTTGCATCTGTTTTTGAATATTAATTGTTTATTTGTGGATTATTAGCTCCAGGCATTGCTGATCTGGCATCAAGTGAGTGGGCCGCTGAGTATATGTCATCTGAGGTCCAGCGAGCAGAAGGTAGGGAGGGGTAGATAGCTGTTAATGTTAGTTGACTGAAAGGGAAATAAGTGCAGTATTGTACTGTTATGAGAATGTGTGCCCTGCACTGTAGGACAAATAAGTAAAACTTATCGTACCCTTTCAGTTGGTTTGTTTGTGTATGAAATTAAAGGCTATTATGACTGTCTGTCATGTGGTAATTTCAAGACTTAATTGTCACTCAACATATACTCTCTTAAATACTGAGTACATTCTTGTTTGATTAGATCATGTTGAGTAATTCATTAGGTGGAAAAACTAGATCTGACTAACTTCAAGTTTAATTATGTATACTAACTAAAAGTTAAATTAAGATGCTCTTTTCCCAGTGCTACCTTGTGAAGACTTCCTGTTTAAAGTTGTTTGAAAGTGATCTCTTTATTGCAGAGTGGTCCAAAGAATATGAACAGGAGGCAAGGTTCCAGCCAAGAGCAGGTAGATAAGAATTTGATCAAGTAAGAAGTCTTGCCCTATACAATGTCCATGTAACTCAGTTAGCAATTCAAAGAAATTGAGTGCCACATTTTACATCTAAGTCAGCAGACAAAGTAACCAGGCATGAAAGAACTAGCAGTGAAAACCAATACAAAACTATTTTATGTTTACAATCCAGTTATCCAAGGTACATGTAGAATAGCTTTAATCAGGTTTTGGGCAATCATGCCCTGTAACAGAGTAACTTTGAACTGTGCCAGGTTTTCATGATGTGCCGACCAAGTGGGCTGCTGAGTACTTAGAGCATGTCAGGTACGTACTTGACTGTTAATTAATGAACCCTGTTGCTGTGTGTTCATTATTTATTTTATTAGTAAATGATAAATACTCATCTGGGTTTTGGTGGCAATGTCTCGGTGTTCAAGAAAAGGCTTAACTTTTAAGAGCTACATGTACATGTTAAATGAATGATACATACCTTGTACCTAGGCAAAACTCTTGAACGTCCATTAACCTAAACAGGAATCCAAGAGTAGTTTCAGCAAGTCCAGGCAATAACTCGTTCTAGTACTAATTATGATTAACTCACTTATGCCCATTATACCTTGGTGCCATGAAGCATAGCAACGCAATCCTTCCACATCTGCTGGTCATTTGCCATAACTTGAATGTCCCTTGAGGTCTTTCCCATCTGCTTCGCTTCCTTCTCCACCATATGCTGCCATGTGATCTTTGCCAGGCAGCCCCTCCTTTGCTTGAATCCCTCTGGCAGTTAGTTATGATTATTACTGATTAAAACATTAATTTAATAGTAGCTTGAACCAATAACTTACCACATGTGATTTCCCTGTTTTTCTCAACAGCGACATGGGACATGCAGCTCTTGATGATGCATCATGGTTAGTTTGATAACTCTCTTTATCACCTTCACCTATCTCTTTCGTGACCAGGTATCACATAAGGCCTTGAGCTTTATTGTGTGATGCATAAGTTTATTAGCATGGTGATAATATTTCTCAGAGAAGAGATCGCAGCTTTGTTATTTATAAATCATAAAAATTGCAACCCCTTAATGTTTACGGTTTGCAATCTATTTTGTTGATTTCTTTTTTTGGGGGGGGGGGGGGGGCTCTTGATTTGTCTAACATTAACTTTTTTTTTTCTTTTGTTTTTCTTCAGATCTTCTACCAGTTTACATCGTTTCTAACGCCTGGAATTATCTACCACTGTGACTTAACTCAAGACAATTTTCAACCGAAGGTTTGTGTTTGAACTTGAGTGAATTATAATACATTGCAGTCTGTCATCGTGAGATTCACATACTTTACGGCACCAGAAACCCTCGAGTCTCGTGTAATTAAGTTGTGCACTGCCTGCACAGTCTAGAGAGAATCCTTTCTTAGCTGCGCGTAAATGATCAACTGTTGATTGTGTCGTTGCCATCTTGAAGTTTTTGCACTAACGCAAAATCCAGGGATCTTTTTAATCAACAACTCCTGGATTTTTAATCTCATTTACATGTATTTCCAATCTCAGAGATTGATAAGTGACATCCTAGTTTTTTTTTTTTTTTTTTTTT